GTGCACTGTGATACAAAAGCATTCGGGTTAGTGCGACATATTGGTTGGAGTTTCGAAACTACCTGGGTTCAAGTCCCACCGAGGGTTTTGATGAGACCTAGGCGAGGTCGAACCTAGGAGACAACTCTTATATCAATCCACTGGTAGTATTGAAAGCATGCTTATATGCTGAAAACTATATCTTCTTCCTTGCTATATTGTTATAATATTTGCGAATGGTTCCCAGTTATCGATACGTCGATTAAATTGTAAATTACATAACTGATAAAAAATGGTTTACAAGATTGAATTATTGGGGTATACTATTATCTGGTTTCACAGCTTATCATAAAATAATAATATAAAAATTAATTTTAGATATAAAGAGAAACTGTGTTTCGATGAATCCCTTGAGATACTTTCAGTTTGCATGAAAGTGAAAGGAGAAGAGATTCGTTGGTTGATCTCACCAATGAGGACAGATGAATTTCGTTGTACTGCAGCCGTTTGGCTTTTATACGAGATTAATTTTGACATAGTCCACAAGAATTCCTTCCTCGTTTCGGGTAAAAAGTGTTAATCTTTCGTCCATCATATGATGGGCATTATCAGAGCTGGGTTTCATTCTCGTAAGAGTCTTACGTTAACACTAGGGTAAGAACACTATCCGGCGTTATCTTACTTCTTATATAAACTCAATTGAGCCAAATGAAAATTAAAAACCTAAATAGATTGATATAGAGTGGTTTGGCTAATTTTTTTCATATTGGTTCCGTTATTTTTGCTCGATTGTATGAGTATGTGTATTTCTGTGTGTTAGCAATTATATGCAATACGGTTACTAAATCAGAGTTGTCAAAGTTTTAATCTCAGTTTCTGATCCTCAAGATCTAATGAGTCAAGAGAAAGCTTTGACTGAAACTGCGTAGGTCCGTAAACATGTATGGTTGAGATAATGAGATATGAGCTTGTAAGCATGAAAATCATGTTACGAAACTACTTGCCCTAGCCTTTCTGTCTAGGCTCATTAACGTTTAACCTCACAAGGAAAGGCAGGACCGGGGTTGCGTAATCTCACATGTCTGGTTTGGTCGATGAGCTTACTCTAATATGTTGGACGAATGTGAGTGAAATTAGAACCATCATGAACATTAATAAGCATTAAAGAATCGTGCGCCAGTTTATTTTGGTAAGAAGCAGCTGCCACCGAACTCACTACTGATTCGTAATGTAATTTCAATCATTCGAAAGTATGTAGAGTGAGTGAATTAGCCAACCAAATCAAGGAATGTATTATTAAGATTCCAAAGTTAAATGTATAAAAAAGCGACTAGGGTTTCAGCCGACTAACTTTTCTCTTGGTTTAGTATATTTTTGTTTTATTTCATAAGGTATTGATTATTGCTATGATGATTTCTTTCACGACGGTACGAACGAAAGCTTTGCACAAGTTCATCGTGGCCGCGGGACAATTGGCCGAGGACTTGTTCGCACAATACGCGGCAATCCTCCTTCCGTTTCCGATAATAACACAATGAATTCCTTTCAACCAACATTTCCTTTAAAAGGGAGAGTCATGTCACAAAGTTCATTTAATCCAGTATAATTTTTAGCTAAAATTCAATTATTGTAATATTGTATGGTGGAGTTATTTATAAATCGATATCAATTGGAGATAAAAGCAGATTGTCCTAGGTCCTCCTTAGTTTCTGTTTGTTTCGTTATCTTGTCTATATAAGTTTATGAAGATTATTTATAATAGAAACGCCAGCCAATCCAGAAACAAAATATTATATTATTCATCATAACGATACTGAATTCGGTGCTAAACAGCCTTTCAAAATTAATTTAAAGTTTTTTCTCTTGTAATCCTAGTGGATTATTTCTTTTAATTATTTAATTCTACTTAGGATAATGCTTGACAAACTTTAGCCTTATACACTATGTATATGTACAGCACATTTTAATTATACTTCTAATTAATAATTCCATACTTTAAACAAGATTTATCCTTCAAGCTATATATTAGAAATATATGCTTATTTATATATATTTGCTTATTTGTATTCCATATAGACGCTCTTAGTTTAAAAATTTAGTTGACTTGACTTGGGCTGATGCCTGCCGGCACCCATCGCACTCCGATTAGCATTCTCCAGGAAATATGTGTTAAAAAATGGATAACTCCCGTTTATGAGCTCGTTTCAAATGGAGGACCTATACATGATCCACATTATGTCTTCACCTGTTCTGCGGGTGATTTTTCAGCTACTTCTAGGGGATCGAGCAAAAAAAAAACTAAACACCAAGCCTCATACTTGGTCCTATTAAAAATGCTCAATAGCGATTTTTTACGGGAAGCAGAAAAAGATTCTTTGCATGATGTACATATGGCTGCATCTAACATATTTGGTACGGAGTTTCTTCAGGGCATCGACGATTGTGAAAAGGTAGGCTCAGGATCTCAGCAACAGCCTGATGAAGACAGTAACTACGTTGGCCGAATGCTAGAATTATGTCAAAAAAATAGATGGCCTCCTCCTTCCTATGAATTCTCATATACGAGACCCGAACCTGGCCAGCCTCCTGAATACCAATGTAAGGTAAAACTATGGACATGGGAGTATACTGGTATATATTATGGTTTTAAATTTATATCTAGAAATTGGCACATCAAAAAAGAATGCCAAGAAAAAAGCTGCTTGTACATTACTATTTGAAATACTTGATAATGACCTCAAGATTCCTCCTGAGGCCTTAGAACAAATGGAAGAAGATCATCTGAATATAGTGAGCATTCACATTTAATGAGTTCTGCTTTTTAGATCGGAAACGATGATTCAACTTCACAAAAAAATGCA